CCACTTCCCCCAGACATGATGATGCACCCACATGGTCCACGTGGCATGATGCGAGGGCCCCCGCCTCCCTACCAGATGGGCCCAGGAGAGATGTGGGGAGGACCAGGTGGTCCACCAGAGCACTATCAGGAACGCATGGGCATGGGCCCTGGCCCCAGAGGTATGCCACCACATATGCAGAGGATGCCTGGGTTCTCTGGAATGATGAACCCTGAGATGGAGGGACCCCCAAGACCTGGAATGGGCTGGCCTGATGACATGCCTCCCCGGATGGGAGATGCACGAGGCTTCCCTGGAGGACCTGGGGGAATGTTTGCTGGTCCTGGGGGTCGTGGTGAGCGTTTCCCAAATCCTCAGTCAGTCCAAGAGGCAATGTTCCACCAAGGAATGGCTGGAGAGAAGGGCCTTCCTCCTGGGATGATGATGGACATGCAAAGGATGATGGGGCATCAAAGAGGTGGAATGGAACCTGGGAACGGAATGGGCATGTTTCCCAGAATGCCTGGTGACGGTCCTATGAGTCCATCATCTAGGCTCCAAGGAATGGGGGGAAGGGAAATGGGGCCTGAGTTTGGCATGGGTCCTGGCCCTGGGCCAGGACCTCATATGCACCCTTCCAAAATACGAGATCCTTCCATGAATATGAGTCCAGACGAGATGATGAGAATGAGAGCAGGTGGAGGACCTCCAATGGAGAACATGGGTCCACAAGGCAGGCCCATGCAGGGTCCTGTCTTCCCTGAGCAGACACAGCCAGGAGAGTTTCCTATGGGGCCTGGGCGGCCCTTCCCAGGGGGTCCTGGAGGAATGAGGGGTCCACATGCAGAGCAAGCCTTTGGTCCAGAGCACAGATCTACACCAACAGGAGGTAATGGCCGTATTAACCACCTCCCCTCTGCTGGTGGCCCTTCACAAGGTCAGAGGGGCCGCAAGCCAGCAGATCTGAATGTCCAAGCAGGAGGCGGGAACTCTCCCAGTGTCAACCCACTTAAGTCCCCACCTCTGAGGCAAGTGCAGTCCCCCATGATGGGATCTCCCTCGGGAAACCTTAAATCCCCTCAGACACCGTCCCAGCTGGCTGGCATGCTCACTGGTCCCACAGGCCCCAATGCCCCTCCAGCTCCTCCAGCTTCAGCACCAATGAAGTCCCCGCACTCCATGATGGGATCAGCAGGTGCCTCTCCTGTTCATATGAGATCTCCCTCTCTTCCTAACCCCTCCCCAGGATGGGCCTCCTCACCAAAACCACCCATGCAGAGTCCTGGAGTACCACCTCAGGGTGGCAAGCCTCCCCTCAGTATCACCTCACCAAACATGATGGGGAATATGGAGCAAGGTACAACAAACTTTCTTCTCTTTTTTGTGTTCATCAGCACATGCCTCTGCTTTTTCTTTCAATATTTAATTCTCCATTTTGCAGTGCATATCTATTAAAGTTCATTCAGTTACTATTGTCTTTTGTAAATAGTCATTGGTGAAAATTTTGGTATTTGTCTTGGTTATTGCAAAATATTGGACTGAAACTACCAGACTTTTAATCCCTTGAAATCAGAACAAGTCTGCAAAGCTGAACATAAAATAGATATGGAGGCTGTCTATCATGTGCATCACTTGAGTGTTAACACATCTGTATCAGGGGTGGGGTTGAGTGGGTTATGGGCCAGTGGCTCCCTCTTGTGGCCACTGGACCATAACCCAGTGGGTTAAATAACACATATTTCAAAAGGTATCACTTTCACTCATCATCAGAGAAAAAAAAATCAGCTAGAGAATGAAAAGTCTCCACTGCAAAGTTTTATCATCTCGTTACATCATATCTTTCTCATCATGTCGTCCTCTAGGTGGTAATGGTCCTCCCTCAGCCCCTCCTTCATCAGGGGCTCCATCTGGCTCCATGTCGCTCCCAGGCAACGTCCCGTCTGGCAGTCCATACACCATACCCCCTGAGCCAACACTATCCCAGAATCCTCTCTCCATCATGATGTCACGCATGTCCAAGTTTGCAATGCCCAGCTCTACCCCACTCTACCACGATGCCATAAAGACCGTTGCCAGCTCCGATGACGACTCACCTCCGGCTCGCTCCCCTAACCTGCCTTCAGTGAATAATAATGGTAAGACATCTGAAGTGTTTTTTGTTTGTTGTTTAACTTTTGGTTTAAATTCCATCTAATTTGGATCATATTTATATTAATCTTCTTTTGATATGCTTTACATGGACTTGTGCTTAATGTATCATAATATTCTTTTTCTCTTGCACATACAGGTATGGCAATGAACCACCAAGGCAATCCACGTATGATGGGACCTGGAAATGCAGGACCCATGCCTGCCCTCAGCCCTCTGGGTATGAATCCAATGGGATCCCAGCCCCTCTCCCATGGCATGCCTCCGCAGATGCCCTCTCCCAATGCCCCTAATATGGGCCCAGGCATGATGCCTCATGGCATGATGATACCACCAAATCCACAAGATCCTGGTATGGCAAACCCTCAAATGATGCCCCAGGGACGCATGGGTTACCCTCACCGAAGCCAGGGATACCCCCTCACCCAGTCCCCTTCCCAGCAAGGCCCCTTCTCCCCACACAACGGTCCTGGTCCTCAAGGTTTCCCTGGCCATCCTATGGGCTTCCAGGGAGAAGGTGGACCTATGGGAGGACGGATGGGGAACATGCCTCATGGGGGAGGGGGTGATGGGGGTATGTGCAAGCCCAATACCCCTGGAGGGCCAGAGTTCAACAACATGCAAGGTGGATTCAGTGATGCAGACCTTCATGAGGTGATGAGGCCGGGAGCGTCCGGTATTCCTGAGTTTGACCTGTCCAGGATAATCCCATCAGAGAAGCCCAGCCAGACTCTGTCTTACTTCCCCCGAGGTGGAGGAGACAACCCTGGGGGGAAACCACCACACCCCTCTGGATTCCCCATGCAGGGCATGATGGGTGATGGCCCACCAAGGATGGGAATGTCCATGCAGGGGATGGGGGGGATGCCAGGGGGGCCTGGCGGGGGAATGGGCCCACAAGACATGCCAATGGGCAACCCTGGCCACAGCTCGATGCGGCCACCAGGATTCATGGGCCAAGGCATGATGGGCCCCCAGCATCGGATGATGTCCCCTGGGGGTCCGGGAGGGATGATGCAGGGGAGACAAATGGCCCACCCAGGCCCTGGTGGCTCACCTAACATGATGATGTCACTGCAGGGCATGGGCGGCCCCCCACAGCAGACAATGATGATGGGGGGTCAGATGAGGCCACGTGACATGGACATGGGATTCAGTCCGGGCCCTGGAATGTTCTAATCCAACAGAAACCTTGTATCTAGAATGTTCTTGGACAAAATGCAAGGCTGGAGTAAAGATCATGGCATTTAGAGAGTGTTCGGAAAACTCTGATGGACTCAAAGAAAGGAAGTATAATACGAAACAGTAATGTCCTGTGGGAACTATTCCAATGGAGACTCGGACAGGCCCAGATTGGAGTACTTTTGCCACAAGAACATTTAATTTTGACTCATGAACTTCAGAATGTATGGGATTGTTGTGCATCAATTTCGCAAAACTGTTCTTGTGTTTTTTGATTATCTGACTATAAAGATGACTTCATCGTCAAAGAGGAATCAACCTAACTAAAAGTCAGCGTGGAGATGCTACAGTATATGTCTACTTTTTTCAAATTTAAAAAACAAATTTGTCATGAAAGTGGTATGGAACAAGAGAAAGGAAGAAGAAGAATTTGTGCTTTGTGAAGACTTTAGTGGAACTCCATCTTGTCTCTCGCTCCATTGTTTTGACTGTTTCTGTACAGTATATACGTGTGAGAGTGCGTATGCGTGCTTGACAGACTGTATGTTTGTGTGGTATGTATGTATGTGTCTGTATGTATAGGCATTCTATCAGTGACCTCTCAACTCCTCTTACCCAACTTTCATTGGGGGAGGAATGCCCCCTAAAAATACTGTACTGTTTACCATTGGTGGGCTATTCGAATTTTAGTCTATTTTAATTTCCTTTGTAACTCCAGTGTATAACAAACCAAACTATGACCTCATTAAGATAATAGTATTATTAAAAAAGCACAAACATGGACCGTCTGCAGAAAGCGTCTTCTTTCTCTATTTTTACCATTGAGAGCAACACATTAAGTGTGAGGATCCTGGCAGCTTTGCAGCACAATGATAATCTTCAGTCCATTTCAAGTTGTGGATGATATTTGATTTCGTGCTCCAAAACTTTCAGGACTCAACTTTCGCCAGCGTGAATAATACTGCTAATACCCAGATGTGCTATGTGTGTTCTTCTTGTTCCTGTTGTGTTCCTGTTTTGTTTTGACTCTCTTGTTGACTCTGGGTAATAATCATTCCCACAGCAATAAACCCCCAATGGTCAGCAGAATGGGACAGGAGTGGCCGAATGCCACAGCAGGTATGCCAGGTATTATAGAACTAGAGTTAGGTAGATCTGGTAAAATTTAGTAGGGCAGGTGTGGTGTCCAGAGTGAGACACACTGAAATGTAAACACGTACTGCTTACCATCCAGTTGACTTCCTCTCTTTTCTCTATTGTATAAGCTTGTCATGTGTTTCTCCATTGGCTTTGGTGCAGAATAGCCTACCAGGGCTGTGGTGATGGACTACAAATAAAAGATATTGTTTTGGTATATACATGTTGTCCATGTAGTGTGTGCGTGTGCATGTGTCCATGTGGCTCTTGGCTATTCACATCTAGTCAGTTATGCGGACTAGGTGATGTCTTTGTCATTATACACGTCAGACCAGCTTACCAACATTCAGCTAGAACAAGTCATACTAAGATGCAGCATCGCCAAGTTGACATTTTATCAGGAGGCACTTAAGTGAGAGCTATTTTCAGAGGACACCACACTTTCAAAATAGATGCAAGCACGTAGATGCATTTGAACTCCACTAAACGATTTACTTTGCTGGTAGGAATATTACAGAGCCCCTGACGTGACGAGCGAATAAAAGAGACTTAACGTTGATCAATTTATTTATTTATGCCTCATCAATCCAAACCAAATGTAATATTTTTAGGGATTAGGTCATGGGAAAATCCGCTGATGAGGTATAATACGTGTTATTGTAACACAGTAAAACTCAGGTCTATGTAATGGGCATGTATTCATGCATACATATTATACTGTGGTCTGAAACTATCATCAAATCCCCACAAGAAGCCAATCTAAAAACACTCTTAAATGTACAGTTGCATCATAATTCCCTTCCTGCAGGTTCTACATGGTTATTAAGACATCTATCTACACACTAATGTACAATCCACTTTCTGCACCCCTTTGTTAATAAACATCAGATACAGTATATGAAACGCTTAGTATTCCCCTGAGGAATGAAATGACTGAATTGCATCAGCAATTATATACAGGCTGTTATGATGCCACATTGTCCATACAGTTCAGTGTAAGATTAAACTTTGATGACAAAGGATGATAAAATTCTGTATTTTTCTTGACAACAAATCCAAAAACAAAACCAACAATGTTTATTCTACTAATAAGTATTGCCTATGCTGGCAAAGCATGATTTAGTTTATCCCTCTGTGTCATCCACGACTATTGTTGTCTATTATAACACATACAGAAACCACACAACTTCAATGGGTGACATGTCCCTTCATTACAGTGAGCATGGGCACAATTTACTCTTCCCTACATTCAAGTAGTGTTTGCGAAAACTAGTCCAGTCATTTTAAGAAATTACTTTTTAAAATTAAACTATGTATTTTTTGATTAGTTCTTAAAGATTTCTGAAGATAATGAGAGATGGGCAAACATTGCTGGTTTTAGTCTTTTTAGATTTGTTGACAATAAGAGAAACAGAGTAACACCACCCTTCATCACTAAACAAAAAAGGCGCATCCAAAGGAAACCTATGCACTAAGCATCTGATATCAGGCATACACTGAATAGCAAAATCATTATGCACATGCACTTGTTATTGTGTGTAAATTAATTTAGCTATAGCTGGAACGTTTGACTGCAATGGCTACATGGTGATGAAGAATCATGCAATGAAAAGTCTGATATAAACTAAAAGATCTCCAAAAGAGGCTGCAATCTGGGACTTTCCTCCAGTGAGGTCTGACAGTGAGGTATAATGACGGTGGTGATTGGATGGAGTAAAAACTGGACGTTAAAAAAACAAAAAAAAAAAACATGATAAGTGAGTGTCAAGAGTGAATTGTCATAGGTAGCACTGTGTTTGGATGTGAAGGTCTGTTGAGGGTTCAGGGCTCGGTTAAACCCTCTGTGTTGTTACAAAGTGAATGGTAGAGTTCAGAGCTCAGTGTGTATCCTGAGAGGGCCTGTTTAAACTCCTGCAGGGGGCAGTAGACTCCACTACAACCTGGAATAAGTTGATCCTACAGAAAGACAAACATTTAGAGTTAACCACAAAGAAAAAAATATGGCAACAGCTTATCAAGTAAATATAGACACATTCTCGCCCCCTACCTGGCCTATGTATGACACTTTGACGAAGGCTTCGTTGGTCTGCTGGTGTTGATGCAGCTCCAGAGTGATATCAGCTGCATACGGTGGCCATCTCATATCAAAAATCCCCAGAGCCATCAGACAGGGAATCAAAGAGGTGTCATGTGCAGAGTACAAAAACAACTTCCTGTTTGAGAGAGGATTTTAACAGCGGACCATTTAAAGACCAAATACAATCGAGTATGTTTAAGAATGGGTGTGCTCATCCTGAGCTGTCCAACCTTTTTGACTCTGATGATTTGTCCTGTAGTTTCTCCTCAATGTTGGCTAACAATATGTGCAGGAGTGGTCCCACAGACAGCTGCAAGTTCTCCCTGCCAGAAGCACAGCAGAAGAATTAAAGGTGACCTGTTGAACTTGATACTTAACGTAACGTAAATTCTCCTTATTGACACTGATAGAGGGTTATTGTTAAACCTTGAATCTACCATTTCCCAACACTCTGCCCTCTGCTGACTTTGTTTAATCTTACCTCTTGCTGGGTTCATAGATATGGCAGATCATGTCCACAGCTCTCTTTTCTACTTTATTTCTCCAGGTGTCCAGCACTGGTGGGCAGGGCAGGCCGTGTGTCTGTTTAATGTGCAGAAACAAGACGCAGTCAGTATCAGCTGTGAAGTGCTGAAGTGAAGTTTCTGCTCACTCTTTTCCAGCGTTGTCATCACATTATGACATATTTGCCATTTTTCCCTTCATCATAATTATTTTCCAAAAGGCTGTCTAGTAAACGGTGTCAATATTGAAGCATCTAAACCATTTAAAATTTTCAAGTAGCTTTATTTTTTATTTAAGTGGAATATGGCTATAATGAGAAATGTGGTGCTTTAATCTGTCTGTGAATTTAAATGAGTTGTATCTGATATTAGGTGGATCTGAGCATAATTAGCAAGAATGTTAGGCATGTCTACAATGTTAGGCTTTGGCTAGTGAGGAGAAAGGAAATGGTGGGAAAAAAAACAAAAGAAAAAAACAAACAAAACATTGCTCAATTCCACAAGACTCAATAAAGACTCCCCTCGTGTCTTGTTTCAGATCCTGTGGACATTTATAAGATAGTTATTTGAACATATAGAAAGATGACCCTCTGGTATTACCCTCCTCATTCATGAATTTCTCTCACTGACTGTTTTAAGATATCCTCAATTACGGCACGAGTAAATACAAAACTTGTTAAAATCTCTAGAAACTTTGTTTCATCTTACATAAGCTTGCTAGGTTTTGCTGCCTCAGGTAAAGCTAAGTCTTAATAATAATCATACATATTCTGATAGCTAGTGGTGAGACCTAATAAAAGTCATATGAATCATGACGTGGCAGTGTCACCTCTCTGGCAACCATGTCGTCCCTAATGAGGATGAAGTCGACGTGCTGGTGAGCAGCGATGCCCAACGCGTCCTGGATTCTCTGCAGGTCTGCTGCAATGTCTGGCAGAGTGGACGACTCTGCCCAGCGGTGGCTGCACAGAACACACACCGTGTCAGCCACGAAACACAGATAGACCACGACAACCTGTCAGAGGCATCTCAACTCTGCTTATAATTTTGCACAACACATTATTCAAGATTCCAGTTTTGGGTAGCGAATGCATAGGATGGTCTGGGCCTGACTGTGTTCCAGGTATGAAAATTTACTCTACGTACCTGCCAAGGATTTTGAGCAGCTTGCATCCATGATAGTTAGGATACAGGATTTCAGATTCTGCCTCCGTTGTTAATATATGCACAATTTCTACAGGTGGAACAGAAAATTACACAAACAGATGAGATGAGAACCAGAATAGAATAAATAACATCATACACATATGGGTTTCTACCCTACCTTTTTGTTTTTGCTGGAAGAGCCCTGCTATCAGGCACTTAGCAGATTCAATGGTCCTCACAATGTTAGTGGAGCGCACACTAAAAATGGAAAAAAAGAGGTCATGGAAGGCAGCCAACTTAAAAGTGGGAAAGCATTTAGGCGGATATCTTTTTTCCTGCACTCATAAATCCAATGTATCAAAACCATAGAGTACTGAATAGTGTTCGTTGCTACCCATCATGATGCGCAACACTTACTAGACCTCAGCTGGGCTAAAGGTGGGGTTGAGGAAGGGAATCTCCTGTATGTATCTCCTCCTTAGCCTCTTGCCCAGCTCATACAGCTGCTGCATGCCCACTGTGGTCAGCTGACCGGGGAATGTGCCACCCTGCCAAACGTGACAAACAGGATCAAGTTTTACTCTCAGGTGTGCCTTGGCCTAACAGACACACATCTGTGATTGCATGCAGGGATTCAAAGTGAATGTGGTACAAGCATGGCAGGAGTCCAGACTGTAGGATTTAGTTTACAAAGCTGAATCTGGTGCAGTTAAACCTCCTTAGCAAAGCAGCTAACTCAGCACAGGAAACTAAGATTTCCATGGACACGGTGTCTGACAAATGGGACACAATATCTCACTGGGAAGCTCCACACACAGTTCAGCAGTATTACAGAGAGAAGGTGAATAAATGAACCCGGTTTAGTGCCGTATGTCATCTTTGTAATGAATCTTAGTGGCCACTAGAGGGGGAAAGCGAATAGAGTCAATGAATTAAAATGGGCGTGAAGCCAATGGGTGCTTCACATCTTTTGAATCTATTCATCTAAAATCACTTCTTCCTGGCATTTTTCACAGCAGATATTAACTTGTCATAGCGAGAAAAGGGCACTCGGAGACCACAGACCTCTGCCAATGCTGATATCAAACCAGACTTCAGGGAAAAAAAAAAAAAAATTCATTCATAGTAAATGATGCAGATCTGCCCCCAAATTTAATGGATTCTTCTCTGGCCAAGTTCGGTGCCACTCGGTTCAGTACTTTTTGTATAATCCTGTTGACAAATAAACCTCCTTGGCAAAGGTAACTAACATTATTGATGACTCTGTGGTCCCAGTGAGTGTCCAAGTAAACTATGCCAGATTGCACAATGTGAGGGATCTGGCGCAGGCACACCTAAATGAAATAGAATCGTTATGCTACTCATTACAGCTGTGCTTTTCCGGCTATGTGTCTAAATGACTGCTATGACAAAGGCCTACTGGCTTGTCATAATTACCTCCACCAAGGAGGTTACATTTTCCCCTGTGTCTGTTTGTCAGCAGGATTACACAAAACGTACTGAATTGATTTGCACCACCACCAGTTGGTGGAGGGATGGGGTGTGGGCCAGGGAAGAACCCATTAAATTTAGGTGCCATTGCAGTTAAAAGGGGTAGATCCAGGATTTTTTTTTTTCATTTTATCACTCTCCTCAACATTGTGAAAGAGGGCATTTTCGTCATTTCTGAAACGTTTACAATTTGGTGAAGATGCAGATAATAATATTGATCTCACAGACATGTGTAGGACTGTATCAATTTGCAGATGTTTCATTTCACATTTAAGACTCTACTGGAACACAATAAAGCAGGGGTGGGCAACGAGTGGTATTCATTTCACTATCTTTTCCTGCAAGGCGTTACCTTGTGGTTCCAATAGATGGCGTGCTGCAAATACAACCGACCCTTTCTAATGAGGAGGCCAAGAGTCACTCATCTCTCCACCTGACCTGACCTTCACTTCTGCTGTTGCACTGAGCACATAGCAATCACCGACGAAATGAGCGGACCAAAGTCGACAGCGAGTGCCGGGTTTTTAAGAAAGGTTGGACGGCAAAATATTTTTACACTGAAGTCTGATCAAAGGTCATACGTCTGTTTTGTACGCTGCGGTATTCAATGAAAACAATATCAGTATACACTTTTCCACCAAGCGTGCTAACGATGCTAGCAATTTGTCACCCCAAGAAAGGGCGAGTACAGCTTCGAGGTTAGCAGCCGCTTTACAGGCTCAGCAAAAATGTTTTTACCCGACAGTCTACAATTCAGGAGTCCAGCACAAAGTCAAGTTATCTGCTGGCATATAAATTAGCGAAAGTGAGCAAGCCTTTCTCTGAAGGAGTTTTTGAAGGAACGTATGGTGAAGACAGCACGTGTCTGTGTCCAGAGGAAACAGGTTTATCACGTGACTCGCCGAATAGAACAAATTGAGGAAGACTTGGTTTGTGGGTTAAAAAAACCGAAAACGGAGTCCTTTTAAATTTAATTCGTCAGCACTGGATGAAAGCAGCGACACAAAGGACCCCGCACAGCTCTTCATTCTTTATTTATAATCATCTTCATTTTTTCAGATGAATTAATGACAATTTTGAAATCACGCAGGAGTTTTTATCCATGGAGTCCGCCATGACTTACTTTAACACTAATCTCCGTTGGCTAAGTTTAAGGAAAGTGCGTCATTGAGTGTGGGACCTCAGAAGGGAGATTTTCCTGAGTTGAACGATGCAGACTAGCTTTGCGATTTTGCGTTTGCTGTGGACATTTTAGACACACCTGAACGAGTTGAACGTGAAAGCTTTAAAAGCCAAATTGACTTTGTTCTCAAGGCAAGCGATGAACAAAATCATTCGCTCATTTCCCGACACTGGCGACGCTGGAAGAGGAGGACCTGCACGGACAAGACTCTGAAAAGATCGACCAGCAACACTGTTCCCATTAAATCAAGAACTCAGGGGTGAGTTTATTTTCATTACTTTTTGGTAAACAGGTTTCATATTCATGTAATGTATGCTAGTTCATTTCCCCCCTCTACGGCCAGTGTTAGCGGCCCATCTTTCAATTTCTAAAACCCAGTGTGGCCTTTGAGCCAAAATGTTTGCCCACCCCCGCAATAAAGCATCAAAATTAAGTTTTTTTTTGTTTGTTTACATGCATTCAGAAAGTATTCAAACCCCCACATATTTTTCACACTTTATGTACAGTCTTATGTTAAATTAAAAAAAAAAAAAAAAAAAAAAAAAAAAGGAGGTCTGAATACCTTCCGAATGCACTGCAGCTAATACCTTCCCACAAAGCCTCTTACCAGGAAGCAGCTACACAAGTTTCTGCACCTGAATCTGTTCCATCATTGCTTTTGCCGTCTGATTTAATTCAACAATACAAAACACACCTACTCACGGTCAGTATGTTTCTCCGATAGCTGTCTTCTACAGGAGCTGTGGGTCTGGGGCCACCATGTAGATCTGTCACTACATAGTTGATGTGGGTGTGTGCTGGAGGCTCCAAGAGCGTTGGCACCCACTGCACCTTTGATGAGACAAACAAGGAATTGTTACACAGTTGTTATTTACAGATATTATGTGGCACTGCTTTTAAAAAACACAAGCACAAAATGAGTTGCTGAAATGCAGAAGTTTTACCTCCATCACATCAGGTATCGACTTTAGCGGGGTTCGAGCACCATGTCGGAACAGGACTTGGACCAGCTTTAGTTTGTAGGGAGAACCGGGATTTCTGTCAGCAGGGGTGCAGCTCGGGGCAACCTGGTCTGAACTTGTCTTTTTCTGTGACCACAGCATAGAGCCAAAAGCTATGGACACTGAACCTAAAACACCTGCTTTGGTCCAAAGACTCTTCATGGCTGTGCTGTGAACAAAAAACAGATTCTCGTAGTGTGTCTGAATTAATTAAACAAGCCTCAGTGTTAATATTAAAAGGAAGACGTACATAATAATGACAGCAATATTAACAGAATTAATAGCTTTTTTGGTGGTGTTATGAAAGGCCCTGTCGGCCTCACTTTTGCGCAACAGTCTTGTGACACATCCACTCAAGCTTCCTCTGTCATGTAGTAACAGACTGCAATTATCGATTGCTTCAATTATCAATTCCGTATCAAATGGCTTGTTTTGTCCATCCAACAGTAAAGTCTCTAAAGTGTGAGCCTGTCCTATCATTTTAGTTATAATTTGTTTTAGATTTTCTGTATTTGATGTTTTCCAAAACATCAATAAAATGATGATATTGTCAAAATATCTGGTTGCATCTTTACATCAAGGACCACAATGGAAGTGGGTCTTGGACTTCTTCGTAGTTTTGTGTGATTTTATGTCCTCATTCTCACAATATAAAATAAACTAGTCAATCTTCCAAAAGACTAGGTCCCCCCATTTGAGATAATATCAATATCAATGACTTTACGTCCAAAATATGCCTTGTGGATCATAACATTTTCACATCAAACAATTCATGACCCCTTGTTAATGTTTTATCTCTCATTTACTATTTTTTTCCTTTAACGTGTCACCTATCTGTAGCTCTCGTTTCCTCATTCTTTAAATATATTAGTTTCATAAAAACCTAGCTGTGCCACCAAACAGCTAAACACTACGAGATTGGGACTAGGCCCTGTTCACACAGCGGATGGAGTTTGCCAACAAACACTTAACTCTCTCCAACACAAACTCATTGCTAACAGAAGCACGTAAAAAAACAGTACTCGGCTCACTCTTTCAAAACTGGCTAGCCGCAACACAACATGATAACGTGAAGTTTAACCTTCGTGTCAATAATAAAACGGACTAACTGCACCATTGCAGAGAAGCTCGCTTTAGTGACAGGTGTAACTACTACTTACTTTTTCGCAACGGGAAATAAAATGAAGTTCTTCTGATGCTCTCGATGGAAAACACCGTGTTCAGTTAAATAATGAATTCACTTGTCAATCGGCAGCTTTTACAACCGGTTAAAACCGACAGACATGTCGGGAACTGTAGGGCAACAGATGCAACTCTGCAATAGACGTAAACGTGAGACATATAAAGACAAAACTACATTTCCCGAAATCTTTATTAAACGCTTGGGTTTCCTTGTCCTCCTCCTTCGTTTATAGGATTTGCGGTGGAGGAGATGTATCAAAGCAATGCTGCTGCCCTCTAGAGGACATACGTGTATCTGCATATCGACGTGCCCCTAGTGACCGTTACCGACCACGAGTTATTAGAGCTGATTAATCAGATAGACTTACAGAAAACTGGTGGACAATTATTTGGATAACCACTTTTTCATTTGGGTGATTTATTCTTTCGAAATACCTAAGAGTTTTTGGTTGCAGCTTCTTAAATGCGAGGATTTGCATTTTTATCTAAATATCTTTTTGTTTTGGGACTGTTTGAATAAGTAGTCTGAAGGCGTTACTTTACCCTCCTGGAACTAGTGACTGGTATTTTTTTTTATTCTATTTTTGGCACTTTCTTACAAACAATAAATTCAGTGGTGAACCAAAATCATAATTTAATAATCAATGATGAACCACTCATTATATCATCATAGTTACATACAGATTTCAATTTATATCCAAATGTCATGATATGCTTAAAACTTACGCACTGATGTACCATCAGATTTTAAAGTAGTGAGAAATAACTCCTACTTGAAGAGCTGCAACATCACTCAATTTCATTGTGCTGGTACTTAACTTTGAGTAATGACAATATAGTTGAGTCTAATGTAATTGAATTAAAATGTTTCTCACTTTAATGCATTAATAATAATTATCCACTAATATGATATATAATACTAAAGGCCCCAAAGTTATAGGTTAGAGTGTTAATTGCTGTTCTGTTCAGTGTCTGATATGCTGACTACCTGGTTATTTAATGCTGGTAATGTTATAGCGTGAGCGAACTCACGTGATCATTTTATTGTAAGTGACATCACGCAGCAAATCAGTAATTAGTAACCGTTAGTAATACAAAGTATGTGCTTTAGGTAAGTGATGAGCTGCGGTCGTGCAGTGCAGTTATTTGTGTGTGAATGAAGGAATGATTATTTACTGCATTATTTGGTTTGAATTTCTTTATGTTGATGTGGCTGTGGATAACGTTTGTTAGTCCATGTGAAGAGATCGGAGTTTATGTGCTCATTATGTGATCGCTATGCTAATGAGAGCTAGGCTCATGCCGGCGAGGTTACACCCTCTTTTCACCTGTCTCGGCTCGTCCGATCCAAATGTGTCATATCGAGTTTAAACCGTGTTCATACAGTTATAACCTGTTGTTAGTAGTGTTTACTGTGTTTGTAATTGGGTTAAGGTACGAAGTGGTTAGGGTGAAGCTAGATATCTATACTAATGTTGAAGTTACGCCTACTCCGTGACCGGATGTAGCTTTCCTGTAGTTTCAAAAATACAACCATCCTGCTAGTCTTCAGCTGAAGGATTTAACACAAATTATAGATAGCAGGAAGTGTTATCCAAACATTACCAGCAACTTTATACATTGATAATGTAACAGAGAAACCTGTGTAATGAGTGATCTGGGCAAAGAAATGTAATTATAGCCATTTGATTATTGTTGTTCATGGTGGGTTGGTACTATTAAGCATATAGGTAAACTAATGTATGCATATATATTTGTTGTACTTTATTCAGCTGTATATCTATTATTCTTTCTTTAGAGAAACCACCATAATATTCAGCTGTTACTGCCTGTGCACTGGTATGTATGCCTCTGCTACAAAGAAGTAAAGAAACAAGCAAACAGCATCTGCCTCTCTCAGCCCTTTATTCATCCATACTACACTCTGAAATGTCTCTCTGCGTACTGAGTGGTTTTACTTTTGATATTGCAGTAGATTTAGCTACTTATATTTAAATAATTTTTAGATTCACTTTCGATGAAGTAAATGATCTTAATATTTCTTCCATCATGTGAGGAAATATACTCACCATACCACTTGGGTGCAAGTTCTTCTAATTTACTAACCCCTGTTGTCAGTCACTTTAAATAAATCTTATACATGTTTATGCAGCGTTGTACAAACCAAGAGAGCCAGAGAATGTGAGAGATGAATGTCCACCTCATTTTTTAAACAAGAACAGGAACCCCTACCAGGACATGAACACATCACCTCAGCTTTGTCCATGGATGATTTACAGAGAATAAAACTTTTTTTTTTATTGAACAGCAAGACAGATGTACGACTCTGGCTACTGCTGTTGGTTCATCTGTGATGAAATGAGGGTAACTTTGCAGAGGAGAAAAACAACCAATAAGAAAACAAACAAAAAGAACAAAATGGCAGCATCTACTGTAGCTTCCAATTCAGTTTCAGCTTGTGAAGGATCAAGTTGGATACCAGCGCTCGGCTTCCTGGCAGAGCTTTTGTTTTGTGTAAATACTCCACGTCTTCTCCAGTCCGTCTCCTGCAGGCTCTTTCCGGTGATAACAGGCTGGAAAATGAAAGTGGCGATGGGATATTGATTTTAAAAAAAAAAAAAACCTTTTGTCTATGCATGTTCTCTATCATCTTTGTCTTGACATCCACTTATAGTTGTACCGTCATCACCATATTTACCACATGATTTTGACAAGTTTGTCTAATAAAATGTATACATATTTATATGTTGATGTAGAAAATGGTGAAATCTAAGAACAATGCCAAAATACTTGAAGCACTTGAATTAATAACACACCATGATAACAACAGAGCAGACTACGGTTGATGATTTGTTGATGATTTATTAATTTGTGATGAGTTAGTGATGACATGTATCGCATAAAGGTCTGTGTGACAGAACCAACAACTGCAGTGAAAGTACAGTAGGCTGAACAAGATGTCTGTTTTCTTGAAAGAATTATTGCTGTATAGATTTGTAGGATAAAACTTCAAACCACCATTTGCAAGGATGATCATTCACAAACTTTTTCATATACATATCTTTCTATATACAGTAAGAACAGACAACAAAAATAAAATACATTCAAAGACTTCAACGGAAACACACATTGCATAGGGACAAATTCAGTATTTACACAATGGCTCCAGGAGTAAAACTGAAAAACATAAGTGCAATGTTGCCACCAAGTGGCTGGATCTCCTCATAACCACCATCCAAGCAGGACCTCTTCTTTTTCTCTTTCAATAGGAAAAGCCTCAAACAGGCTACATTCTGTCACCACCTCTCTACACTACGGCTCCTGTCAAATAAAGTCTTACTCACACTTTTTCAGAAGATTAAGTTATTATTCTTGAGTTACATGTTATGTTTGTTGACCTGCAGTACTGTGTACTGCAATCACATTAAGTCGACAAGTGGCTTCATTTAAAGTTACAACTTTACTGTGGCTTTTGGAAGAAAAAAAAAATGCGTTATGTTGAAATAGATGGGTTTTTTGGGTTTTTTTTTTTTACACTTGATAAGGCACTTTACCTTGATTCACTGCAAATGTGCAGCAAGCTTCACAGTTTATTGTATCTCTTAATTTTTTGCAGTGGGAGAGTTGTGCTATTTAAAGTCATTGGCTAATCTATGTTTAGTTGAATAGTTGAGATATCTTGGAATATTTTGCTTTATGATGAATGAGTCAGCTCACACCAAGCACCATGCGTCACATCATTCTCGTCCCTTTCCCTCACTTAGTTTTTTTTTTTTTTTTTTTTTAAGTAAAACATAAAATGTGCAATAGTCAGGTATCACACCGTGTTACCCTGCTCTCATTTCAAAATTATTTTCCTTTTGCAGTTTGGTTGTCAGTTTTTCAAGCTCTTGGACGGACTGTTCACAGAGCTCACACACGTCAAGTTTACATGGTCCACTCACAGATATCAGTGTATATTTCTAATGTGGTCCATCTTCTATAGTCAAGTGTCAGGACTAAATGCCAGAGTCTGCGTTCTGAAATCTTCATTCAGGAATAACACTTAGTCTCGTATTTGTCTCTTGCTAAACTGATGTTTCTGTTGCTTCTCTTTGGTTCTTTAGGTCCGGCCCTCCCTCCTTCTGGCCATGGGCCTATACTGCCAGGTCATCTTGGCGAGCCCGGCTGCTGGTACCGCTGGTCTTGCTCAGGCGGCGTTTGTCCTTCATGTAGCCGGAGTGCATCAGAGGTGACGGGGAGCAGCTGTTAGGCAGCTCCGTGGGCGCCTGGTCGTATCTCATCCTCAGGAAGTCTTCCTCGTCCTCCAGGTTGTCGCAGCTGTGATGCAGCTCGGTGGCCATGTTGACTGAGTTCTGCTGCAGCGCCATCCTGGTGTTGAAGGGGTGAGATGCCATGGAGGTCATGGGGTTCATGGAGCTCGGGGCCGCCAAGCACTGGCTGAAATCAGGAGGTGGGGTGCAGGCGGCTGCGGGCCGCGGTGGGCTGCTTGGTTCCAAAGCTGCAGACACGGACACGGTCACTGCTCTGTGGTTGTCCTTCTGCATCATCTTTTTGCGTACACACCCTCGGGCACTCTTCCAGCCAAGGTGGTAGAGCTCCAACACAGAGAGCAGTAGAGACACACCAGCCACCACCAGCATGAAGATGATGAAGACATTCTTCTCTGTGGGCCGGGACATGTAGCAGTTGACTGGGTTGGGGCAGGGCCATGACTTGCACAGGTACAGCGCTTTGAGGAACACCCCATAGATCAGGTACTGCACAACAATGAACGTCACCTCCATCACAGTGCGGATCAAGATGCTCAGGATGTAAGTCTGCAGCAGCGCCCCTTTCAGACGAACACGGCCAGTCCCATCAGGTCCAGATGTCATCTCCTTCTGCTGGAGGTACTTCTTCTCCCCCTCCAGGTCTTCGCCACCCTCACCTCTTGCCTCCTTCTCTTCCTGCTCCTGCCTCCTCCGCTTCTCCTCTCGGCGCACTGTGTGCATGGCGTGGCCCATGTAGATGAGGGATGGCGTGGAGACAAAAACAATCTGCAGCACCCAGTAACGGATGTGGGCAATGGGGAAGGCGCTGTCATAACATACATTAGTGCAACCAGGCTGCTGGGTGTCGCACAGGAAATCGCTCTGCTCGTCGCCCCACGAGGACTCGGCCGCTGTGCCCAGCACCAGGATGCGAAAGATGAAGAGGATGGTGAGCCACACCTTCCCCACCGAGGTGGAGTGTTCCTGGACCTCCTCTAGGAAATTCCCCAGGAGACTCCAGTCCCCCATCACTGCTCACAGGCCGAACACACACCTGAGACACAAAGATAGAGGGTGGAAGGGAAGGGTGAAAGAAGGGTGCAGTAGAGGTGAAAAGTTGAAGTCACTGAGGCGGAGAGGATCGACAGAGCAGCAGAGAAGGGCAAAAGGTGGTAAAAAAAGATAAATACAGACAATCAGTCATAGACAGCTGTAGGTCCTCTATATTCCTGCCGATGGAATGACCTCGGTGTGTTTGTGTGTGGCATCATACGTATAAAAATAGCTTCTCTGCCTGTGAATTGCTTGAGGACTGGACACTGTGGCATGAGAACGACTATTTTCCCATGAGAGAGAGAGAGACAGAGGGAGAGAGAGGGAGGAAGAGGAAGTTCAGGAGTCATGCAAAAGTAAATAATGAGGTTGTTTTTATTATATGGTATTATGCGTGTTTTTATTCCCTCTCGTGCTATTCCAGATTATACTTGACAGAGAGACAGAGGGTAACCTGCTGTCACGGGGCAAATCAAAGCGGGGAGACTTTGTCCTTTTAATGCTGTGACCCGGCGTGAGCTACATTGTCTCCATCTTGCCTATAGCACATAACCAGCGGGCGTCACTCACATCAACAGAGCAGCAGCTTTGATGTCCACTGCTCTGCCTCTCTGCAATGATGAAACCATCACAAATCCTACAATCTCAAACTATCTCGAAGCGTCAATCAGATTTCTCCATCTAGCCACTGTGTGTGTGTTTGTGTGTGTTTGTGTGCGTGTGTGTGTGTGTGTGTGCGTGCGTGCTTTCACATTTTGACTCCAGCATTAGTAAGATTTTGGGAAAGACCCAAACATGGCAGTGGCAGGCTGGCGAGTCTCAGCTGACAATGACCCTATAAGGCGGTTCACCAGACAGCTTTATGGGTGCTGTAAATGACCCCCATCATCGAGGGGTTAAGAAAACCCATCAAACCCCATCGAGGGGCGACCTGCGACATCTACATGCACTATGTTGGTCTGCCTGCGTCCAGCTTTTACTATGCAATTACAGATGAAAGACAAGATGACATAAGGAAGGAGGACTGAAAGTAACAGTTTGACAGGTTTTTCCGACACGTCACACGTCTGAAATCATTGCCCTAGTTGGCAAGGTTATAGAAAACATATACATTCCTCAATAGCTGTGTGTTAAGACAAACTGTTACTTTAATGGGGTGCCAGGTAGGAAAGGATATACAGTATAATCACTACAATCACAGAGCATGAAAACAGCCAAACAGGGACTTGATGTTCTCTCTTACCACCCCTCATCTCCCTCCAAGTGTAATCCGTAAGCGGTTGCTTCCATTTCCCCACAGAGACAAGTTACTTCTACTGCTTAGTCCACTGTGCAGGGCTCTGAATTTCCTGGCTGACACTGGTTGTGTGAGAGAGAGAGATGGTCTAAATGACCATGACCATCTGTCTCTCCCCCTCCCTCAGTGTCTCCATGAAGTATATATATGGCAATAAGATGGAAAATCAGAGCGTGGTGCTCTTTATCTGTAAAGTGTGGAGAGGCAGGAAGCAAAACACCCCCACGACAACACGTGGGAGAGGAAATGTTCAGACTCCCTCTACGCCCAAGGCTGATACGCCAATGCATAGCGTAGGAAAGTCTGTGCTCTGATACTTATTTTCCAGCATGCACCTAATACCCGCTGACGTCAGACAGGTCACAGTCTGAGACCAGTTGGATCATTAGTTAGTGGAGCGGGTCCCCGTCCCACTGAGGGAACTGGCTCAAAGCCTTGACTGGATAAAGCTGATGATCTTTACTGGAAGTAAATCACAAACAGACTGGGAGATGGAGGAGGAAGGGTGAGAGTCCAGCCAGCGCAATAGCAGGAGGCACACGTTAAAACGGCCATGTTTTTATCAAATGATAGTGACAACAGACTTTCCTCACCTGTGCAGGTCCTGGAAACTACATGTCCCTCTGGACTAATTCAAAGTTAACATTTGTGATAGTTTCTTACCGCCTGTAGTATCATGACATACTTCTAAATCTTAACTAAGTGAAAAATACAGTCTTTAAAACCAAAGTGATCTAGATGGGAGATTGTTGATGGTTAGTTTAATCTATAAACAAGAAAACATTTCTTTCTCAAGTGTAGTGGATGTAAAGTATAAAGTGACATATAAATACTTTTAATTATATTTGTGATGTGGTTTGTTAGTCTGGGCACATATATAGAAGAAAACATACATCACACACACTACTGTTCATACCCAGTGGTGGGAGTGGAAGCTTTCCTTTTCGGAGTGAAGCAGACAAACTGGAATTCAGATCTGCCAGGGAAAGACATCGGTTTAGTCTCTGTCTCCTTCCCTCGACTACCTCCTCCTGTTGTCAGAGGAAGCAATCTCAAACTATGATTTCCGAAGGACAAAAGGAGCAAGGTATTAAAAGGAGTGGGGGTGGGGGGGGTTACAGCTGAGCTATTCCAGTCAACTTCTCTGCTCTAAAAGAGTCTTTTACCATCGCTGGCTCTCGATGATACCCATGCTCCTGTTGGCTTTCTGGAAGCCTGGCAATAACCTGGGATTTACTGAGATACATTGTGCCCTTTGCTGAGCGCTCTAGTTTGCCTGTAGACCATCATGGCTGTCATATTTGTTTATAATCTCTGTGGCAGAGCGAAGGAGAAGTAATGGACAATCTGGTTATGAGGCATTCACAACAGTGAACTGCACAAATGGAATATAATGCACCTCTCAGTTATTTCTCTTGACGTTGATTAAAGCATCAGGGATGATCTCATTAGTGTCTGTGTGTTTGCGCGTCCATGTGTGTCTGTGTGTGCCTGTGTGTTGGTGAGTTTAAATTTCCGTGGAAACAAAGCGTATGATTGGTGTTTCAGATCTATTATGATAAACTAAGCGAGAAACTAGACTCTGTATGGACTATAACCAAGAGCGGCAGTCATTTCCCCCAGTTCAGGGTCAACTCAAGCTTAAACTGGACTAACTGAACGTGGCTGTATTCGAATCTCCAGTTAGATGTGCATGCACCAACACTGAGCTGGTCTGGACAGCAGCCAGGCAGCTCCGAGAGGTGAAGAGAGAAAGAGCAGCTTCTAAACTGCATCAGTGCGAAGTGACGGCTGCTGCTGTGACTCGCTGCAGAGCAACAGGAATAAAGGCTGTGTGTTTCCTCTACCCCGTAACACAGCAATAAATCCTCCGGGCCTGTTGGACCAGCCTCTGTTTTACCTTAGAGGGCAGTGACTCTAGTCCAATCAGAATCGGATGAGACAGCACCTCAGGCTGGAGAAACCCCCAGTCTGAAGCTTTATAGGACCATGAAGCTACGTTTTTATTGCTGTACGGAGCCACGTAGAGCAGTGGTTTCACCTTTATGAATCAGGAAAATGTAACTTTTAATTGTGATAACAAAGAGTTTAGTTACTAACTCTGAATAGAAAGAACATAAAATTAAAAGGTGCAGATGAGGAAACATTTTTTAACTGTCTCTTCTTGTCTTTGCATCCATGTCCCAACCCTGGCTGCGTCCCCTCAGCCTGCAGTGTATCCACAGACCAGCATCAACAGGGGGCAGGGTTGATTTAAACATTCCTTCAGTGATCTGCACCTTTCAGCACTAAACCATGTTTGACAGACCCCGGATCCTCATAGAGAACCAGGATACACTGCCTGCTCCACGCTGTCCTCATAAACATACAGGTAATTAGATGGTGGGGTATACATTTTCTTGGCCTGCTTCCCTTTAATGGGGCATGTTTAGACTAACATCGGTGAAAGAAAAAAGTATTTACACTGTGTTGTGCACTAAGTACAATTGTGTTATTATGTGTGTCTGAGAGGATTTGCTGGAGATAAAGTAGATTTTTCTGTAATCTCACGCAGGATCTCAACACGCCGTCTTAAAAAGCACATTACCTGACAAACTAATGTATTGTTTTCATTAGAAAGAAACACAGTGAAGAAACTCATTTGTTTCCTAGAAAAAGGTCTACAGTATTTGACATATTCTAGAGGGAAATATTTGGCCACACAGACTCACACTGAGGGGCCCAAAGTTGGATTCTCAAAATATTTCAGAGAGCCAAATTTGGTCTGAGGAGATGTTAGTGTAGACCACCTTAACAACTACATGTTCATATTATTAGCTCTGGTCCAGAAAAAAAAAAATTATTTGGGTATTTTTCTGCATGTTATCTAATTTCATCGTTGTGCATTGACAATAACTAATCTTTGTTAACCACTGCCAATGAAAAAACACCTTCTTCTTCTAACCATAGTCTAAAAAAACGCACATATTCATATTTTGCCGACCCAGTAATGACAAAGACAACAATTATACATCACTGGTACCTTTTGTTTGCTACATCTCATTGCTTTAATCCAGTTTAATAACGATCAGTAAGGACAAATTTCACAGCCATCACCACTTTCCATATCATAATGTTGGGTGGAGTTTTTTGAGCACAAGAAGTGATAACAATCTCACAATATTCATCTATAAAACTCTACTGTTAATGCCTCCAAACAACCTTCTGTGTTCTTCTCTCATTTAAACACCATAACTACAGCACACCATCCAGTAACTACTTTTTTTGATATTTGATGTTTCCGTTACTCTCGTTTTTTATTAATAATTGTTTTTATTGTTACTTGGTTGTCGGTTGTATGAATTTAGGAGCTGTTTCTTGTATGCTGGTTGTGTAAAGTTACTAAGGCTCATATTAAATAACCTCAAACAAGGAGCCGATGCCAGGACCTGTATAACAAAAATACATTTGCCAGTAACAGTTAGTATTGCAGTACTGTGACAGCTCAGCAGCGTTTCAGTGGAACAGCCGCAGCGGAGCACGAGGAAAATGTCAAACCAAACCACACAACTGCTCTGCACTTGCACATTTATACACAGGTTTCGTCATTCGCAGATGAAATCAACAGACCTGCACACAAGATGCCAAACATACCCAGGCTGCAGTTATTCAGCTCAGTGATGGTTATTTTTACTCTCTGATGGATTCATGCTGTTTTATGATGTGACTGAGGTGTATTAGAGAGATTAATAGAGAGAAATAAGGCTTATTTATTTTATTAGAAATAACCACTTGCGCCTATGTGTCAAAGTTCAAGTGTTATATTTGAAACATGGCTTTTGAACTTGAACTTTTAACACGTAGGGAGAGTCAATCCCAGTATGCACTGCAGCAGCTGTTTAGCTGCCGGGGTCGAGTGCGCGTCCCTCCCATGAGTGCCAGGATTATGATCAAGGTTGAGTATGTTTAAGTTTAGCTGTATTGGTTTGGTCGAGGGGTGAGTTAGGGATAGTGTGACCTACAAAGTGGATCTGATGCGGGATGAGGGGGAGAAAACTTCCCGCTCATGTGAGTCACCTGTTGTCAGCACTTACAGGCCAGCATGGATCTAGGCTGCCATATATCAGTCACACCAGCAGAAGCCAGCGGGCCGATGCGCTGCCTGCTACCTTACATGGCTGTCTGGCTCTTCATCTGCCCACTACTGTACACAGACCCACAGTCCTGTTATGATCCATTGTTTAGCTGCATATGGCATTACATTGGAACTGTCAGGCCAGACAGCTGCGAGGTGTTTCATAGAGGAAAATTCTCACTAACACAATCCTGATTGAAATCCCTGGATTGTTGCTGTTTCATTATGGCGACAGATTAGATTTTTGGCTCGCTCTTATCTTTTTATTACATTTATTTTTGTTATGGTTTTTATCTTTTGGAGTCTATCTTAATAGTTAGTGTTGTAAACTCATTCTTGGCAATGGGTTGGATTAGTGACTCTGTAATCTAATCTGTTGTTTTGCTTGTTATATTTTATTCCACTGGGACATCAAGTCTTTTTTCATGAAAGTGCAGGGAGTTTGTTTTCAGCCTAATATAGCAATGCTGATTACTTTTCAGTGTTGATGTGTCTTCAGAGTCAAATAGATAAACTCACGTTCACATATTCAGCTTGAATAACTTGATATTAACTTGTGTATGGGTGTAACAAATTGACCCACTGACTTTTTTTTTTTTATGTTGTCTTGAATCACATCAAGTTATGAATGTGTTTTATGAAGAATGCATCATGGTTTGAAAGACAGTGGTGGATAATAACTATGTGGAAGGCATTTATACTTGACTATACTTTACTTATATATTCTATATTTATATTATTCTGTATTATTATTCGTATTCTAATTTTTTTACTTTCTATTTATCCTCTATTACATTTCAGAGAGATTTTTCTTATTCCACTACATTTGTATGATGACTACATATATATCTTTTAATTGTATTGTTTAATTGTTGAAAATAATCCACTCAATAGGTTGGCAAAGGTAAAATAGATCGAATCAGCTCCACTACAGCCAGCTATAACATGAATTGTCTCTTTCATAATAAACCAGCAATATAGTATATAATCATGTTTTACCCACAGATAGTGTGTACTTTTACTTTTATACTTGCAGCACATATTGATGATAATACTTCTCCCGCTACTGCTTCTTTGCTTTTTAGTGAAGTAACATTATGAAGGCAAGATTTTACTTGTGATGAAGCATTTTTACACTGTGATATTGACACTTTTACTTAAGCAAAGAATCTGAATAGTTCTTCCACCACTGTCGAGACACTGTGGCTTTCATTTCCTTTGTTTTATGTATTCCTTTGAGCCGGCACCCTTCTACAACAAAGTGCCTTTTTATTCAGTTTTCTAGCATTTTTTTAGTTGATTGATTATTAGATTGGCTAATAGATATTAAGCTGTGTGTTAGTTCAGATTCATGTCTAACAGCATTCATTTCTGCTTTTGTCAGAGCCAAAAAGGCTTAATATTTAATACATTTCATCAATAACAGTAGACACAACTTAAGTGTAATTTTTTTAGCAATGGTTACTTAACAGATAAGTAGCAAATGTCTTAACTCCATAGTTTTTAGTCAGGAAGCGATTCCTAAAAGTTTTCATTCAGGATGTACATGTTGCTGGTGGCTCTGTGGTTTACGGTCTCCAGTGCTGCACTTTGTTTGAATGTATTTGTCTCTTCTGAGAGTTACCGGGAGAGAGGAGAAAGAGAAAGACAGAGGGAAGAGAGATGAAAGGAGTGAAAGCGAGTACGGTGACAGGTGTACCTGCCCGAGACGACAGGGACGATACTAACACACACCAGGCCTCCATCGTCCCAGCTCTCGGAGATATCCTCTCTTCCTTAGAGACCGCGTCGCTAAGCCCGATTCCACTACTGTAGTTTTCAAGTAGGATGCTCACAGTGTTTACCCAAATGTGTCTGCATCCTTTTAGTTTTTCATCTTATCAGTAAGAGCTGTTTTGTGATAACCTGTTAGATCTGATCATCTCATGGCTTACCTGCTGTTCTGCTTGAGGACAGTTGTCTGGAAGGCTGCTTCTAAAGAAGTAGAGGCTCCTTGTCTGAGCCCGGGTGAGACGAGTCTTCCTTTGGACAAGTGGCAGGCTCAGTGTGAAGGTGGAACTACCTTCTTCTTTTGAACATCAGCAGGAGGTACCTCTCAATAGCTGCGTCGGAGCTCACGCTTGTCCCAACACCACTGTTAGTCCACACGGGGGGCACGAGAAGAAAAAGCAGGGGCGTCACGAGAGTCACCCCCCATGGCCCTCCCTTCTGTCTCTCCTCCTCCATCTCCTCCTCCTCCTCTCCCCCACCTCCCCTTTCTTCTTACATCCCTAGTGCTCTATTTTTTGCTGGGAAGCATTCTCCAGCAACAGAGGGGGAAGTGGAATTGTTTTCTGGGATCAATGGCAAATCCACTCAGAGTAAACTTCCAGAGTGCTCTTATTTACTGAGAGCTCCTTTCCACTCACAGCCCTGTTGTCTCTGCTGTGTTCAGCGCCAGCCGCAGGGAAATTCCTACAAAAGCAAGATGTAAAAGAAAGTTTACCAAGTATTTAATTCAGTAACTGATTCTCTTTCTTTCTGTATGATTTTTCAAAAAGTTGATGTGTTAACTGAAGTTCTGATCTTTTTATTCTGAATTAATCAAACAAATCATTAATCGGACTGATGAATGAATAAAATAAACCCCTTAATAATACAATAAAAGGGTGATTTTAACATTACTTTGAAGACACATCATTTTTTTTTTTTTTTTTTCAGACGCTAAAAATATAGACCAGTAAACACAGTGAAAAAAAAAGTGATAAAGTCAGATACTACATTAAAGGCTTTGTTGGAAATAACGTACCTACTTCGTTCACGATTTCTTCTCTCTGGTTTCACTCTGTCTCCTCTCAGAGCTTGTGCTGGTCTGAAACCACTTGCTGAAGTTTGGGAGTCACAACCAAAAGCAAAAGAGATCATCGTTCTTCTCTTTCCTTCCTTCCTCCTCCTTTCCTCTCCCGCTGTATGTGGTGTGAGTTTCAGCCCAGGATTATCTCCCAGCTCCCGCAGCCTGCCTGCAGAGACACGCCATTATTATATAAAGGGAATCTTTTAGGTTTGATTCCCCCTTGCTGAAGGCATTCAAATGCCTGTAATTATGCGGGGAGGGCACACAGACATACAAACATATTTTCACTAACAAATGTGACTTTAATCCTTCGTTTGTCATCATTCTTTGACTCTTGGCCCAGCATCATGTTTTTCTTGTCCTCGAGGTGTGTCAAATTCCTTCCCTGGAAGAGCGATACCATACTTATGTGTTTATGGTAATAAAGTATGAAGCCAGAGACAAGACGGTTAGCTTAGCCTTCTCCAGCAAGAACTGCTTCCGGTCAAGAGATAGTCTGGCACGTAACACCCCGTAAAACCTTAAGGTTTTTACACTTTGATGTTTGTATGCATCAAACAAATTAGATATAAAGCTCTACTTGCAGCTTGTAGAGGTGTTGGTGGATGGATTTTGTAACTTTTGGACAAAGCCAGGTTTACCCTTTCTCCATCTTTGTGTTAAGCTAACAGGCTATCGTCTTTTGCATCATTTTCACTATACAGACATGAGAGTGGTGTCATTGTTCTCATGCAACTCCTGGCGAGCAAGCGAATAAGCATATTTCCCAAAATTTTAAACTACTCCTTTAATTTCTATTCATCATTTGAGAAATGATGAATTGTTTGTTTAGTGCAAGAGACACCCAACATTTTTGTTGCTGTTCATTGACTTCATTGATTTTCTCTGTTCTGCGAATGTCACGGCCTAATCTATGATCTAAATGGCTAAATTCTCTTCTCCAACAACTGCGCCTTTGACCACGAACTAGGGAAAATGTTTTTGCATGTATAAATATCAGGGGAAGTCAAGTAATAAAGATCTCATGACAAACCCTGCAAGATCTCTGGCCTGGAGCAATGACCCTGTAACCTCATCTCTGCTGTATCCCTTCCAAAATATTTCATCTTTTTTATGTCTTTCAGATTCAGGCATTTTATTATCCCAAGTGGGAAACTTGATAACTTGATTTGCAGTCAAGGATACACACAAAAAAACAGATAAAAACAAGTATAGTAACACTGTAAAACACCAAACACTATAAAAAACTACACCATAAAAACACCAGAAACTAAAAGCACCGAACACTTTAAAATTACAATTAACGTGCAAATTCAGCAGGGTTACTGGACACGGGATAAAGGAGACAAAGACAAAACAAAACCTTCCTCCCATGCAAAGCCTCTTTGCAAGGAGCGTGTTACTGTGCTCTCTGTTACTGCTACCTCAAGTTGGACTGATGTTAAGACTGAAACATTTTTTTTCCCTCTGCATCTTGAAAAATGCGCTGGTCATGAGTTCACTGTGATTTCTGCAGTTCCTTAAACAAAAGCCCATGGAGCATCTAACATTCCCTCAGGCCTCAGTCAGTCATTTGAAGGGATGGAAAAGCTGTTGCAAATTCCTAATTACGGAGCTTTCCTGAGTTTAAAGGCTACCCTGACGTTTCCATTGTGCTGCTCATCAGGATGGATTTAGAAGTGGAACAACATTCACACAAAATAACAGAAAAGAAGTGATGTTCCACGACTTCACTTAATCTCATCACTTACAGCTTCTCAGCAGTGCCAGGATGAGGTATGAATGTGTGTGTGTGTGTGCATGTGTGCGTTAAAGAGCGATCAAGTGCAAGAGAAGGGAGACAACAACTGCATGTGTTTATATGTGCCTCTGTGTGTGATTGTAGTGTATGTGTACTTGAGTGTTTTATGAAAAAAAACCTACGCTGCCAGGATGCATTAGTGTAACCCCTCCCAATCCACCCACCGGCCTGACCCTTGCCTGCTCGTGACACGAACCCGTTTCAGCCCTGCCTCGCTCAAGTCCGAGGGAAGCCAGGCTTGATGGACATGTGCTCTTGAACGGCCATCACAACCTCACGTACACCCTTCAACTCATTGCTATAATCCACTGGTGGCCGCCTAAATCACGGTCAGAGAATATGATGGTAAAATGAACTTCAGAGTGGGAAAGGTTGAAAATAGAAACTCAAGGTTGTTGCAGCTGAGGCGAACACATGAATTACATGCACAAACTGTTACTCACTTGTATATGTCAGCATGAACCTTGCCTGCATTTAAAAAAGTGATCCATTGCACTGGCATGTTGTTATGCCACAGACTTCCTGTCAATCAGGCCCATTTACCGCACTTTGCACTGACTGGTGACGTGGTCGTCGGTCCAAAACATCCTGTCGCTGCATTTGAATCATTCTCGGCCTTGGTGCCATTGCCATTTTTCCATTTTTTCCCATTTTCTTTGCTCTTCTTCCTTCGCAAATTCGTTTTCTTGTAATTTTTTTTCTTTTCCCCTTTGAATACATATTTGTTTGTTGTTTCAATGAAATGCTAATATACACTTAAAAATAGAAAAACAATAAATCGTGAGAGAGCAACATGCATGGTCACAGGCGGTAAATGATCAGCCCTGCTGTTTGCTCATTATAGGGCGACAAAGCCTTGAGCCAACAGGTGAAGGACTGTGAAAAGCCAACATGGCAGACGGTCAGTCAGTTCTCATGTATTTTAGACTTCTGTCACTCACGGCTCCATCTGTTTCCAACACTGTTTGTGTCTACACATTTAGACTGATGCTATTCTTACCAGCTGCACTCTGACCCTGACTGGAATGCTGCCCCAGACTGGAGGCATTGATTCTGACTAGGTTATGGATGCATACACTATATGGGTCACACATGCATTATTATGTGTGTCACGGATGGCTGTTTCCTTCTTTCTTTTTTTTTGTCTTTTACTTGTGAGGGCCTTTCTTTCCATCAGCTCCATATGTGTGTGTCTGCTTGAGAAAATGTAAGCAAGACAATGTAACAAATATTAAGAATTAAACATAAATACCTATAACACATTTGCCAACTTTAGCCAGCATTAGCCACCAACATTTACTGGCAAAAACAAAACTAGAAAAACAGTAGCAGCAAAACATCTGAATTTACTGAGTCGAGCAAAGATTTATTTTTTCGCCCATGAATTCTACATGAACGTTCACCCAAATTTAAGGGATCCATATCAGAAATAATTATGCCAGCTATGTCTGAGTCAAGATTTCTGCTGTGAAAAAGGCCTCAAATATTCAGTATCTGTGGAGCTGTTGTTAAAACCCCTCTATCAATGTTTTTATTCAGAAAGTTTTCATAAGATAACTGTCTGTTTATTTGTGCAGAGTCATTAACTGATGGTTTTAAAAAAAAAATGAAAGCAAACAAAACTTGTGCAGTGAACCTTGTCAGTTCCTCCTCCGCCCTACTAAGAACAAGGTTATCAAGATGTGGACGGAGTCAGAGGAAACATGGACCCTTAATGCCATTTTTTCCCCTGTAGAGTTAAAGCATCCCACTGAGCAGCCGCAGAGAAGGAGCAGACTAACAAACACAGGAAGGGGGAGACCCCTCAACCAAGACAACCACCTAACTCAGACATGAGGACAGACGGGTGCGGTGTGTGTGTGTGTGTGTGAAAAGATTGACTTTGTCCCGTATGTTTTATGTGTGTATGATGACTGAAGACAGACGAGGGGTGTATGTGTGTTCATATGTGCACCATACATCCCTGAAAACAAACAAAGAATGAAAGGACGGTATTGTTCATCAGGTTCAGTAGATGCGCGACATGTATAGTCACCAGCCAAGGGCAACGAAAAAGCCATTCAGGCTTTCAATTCAGCCTCTTCCCCTCTGTTGAACCCTCGTCTGGAATTATCTTAAATCAAATAAATAAAAATCAAAGGGCAATTTTGCAGCCGATTTGACAAATCAAATAAAATCATGAATGGTTGTTTCGTATTTTTTTGGTGCTTAGCATGTTTTCTATCTTATACACTTTGCCATGGCAATGTTTTATGACTTCCTGTTTGTCCTGGTCATTGTTAAGGTGGCTCTGCTTCATTTGAGGAAACAACATTAAATCATAAATCATTTCTCTTACGCTCTCAAATGTGTGAGAAACTCTTGTGAGTGTTTGACGGTGGATGGTTGACTGTGTGTGCCGTCACTCCGATCCATAGATAACATTGTGTTTGGCGGCTGGCTGACTGAGGGGACCTGGAGGCATGAAATCATCCTGTATTGGGCCATGTGTTCCC